TCATTACACAAACTTTGACTCATGAAATGATCCATATGATATTCCCCCTTACTAAATGATAAAAATGATAAAAATGATAAAAATGATAAAAATGATAAAAAATGATATAAAAATTCTAGAAATTTTATATCAGATATGGAATATAACATAAAAAAAATTCAATAAGATTTTGATAGTATTTTAATAAAATACTGTATAATCCTAAGAAAATCGATACGTAATACACGTTAAAGATTTCCAACTTTATAATCAATTTCGTCTAAAAATAGTTATAAAAATAATAAATATAATTAATTTCATAACATAATGAAAGAAGTTCATGAATATTATCCATACCTCCAATAAGATTAACAAGAATAGATTCATAAAGCACTAATTCAACATGTCCTTCTAACTCTTTTTTGATTTCATCCCAAATATCGTCAGTATCATTAAAGTAACAAAATCTCTCCTTCGATCTCATACGATCGTAGCTAATATATCCGATATTTATAGCACTCAAGGTCTTTTTTCGTATACAAAATCTGATTAATGCATCGATATAATTATTGCTATAATAATTTTCAAAATTAAACAAGAATTTTTCTAAAGGTGAATTACAATGATCAAGTAAAATATCAATGTGCGAGTTTTCCCAGACGTTACTTAAATCAAGATATTGTAATGTCGATGGCAATATTTCAGCAAAATTCCTAATATGTGTTTTCATCACTTCTTCCGATTCATCATTCATCCAGCATAAAGAAAGAAATTGAAGTTTTTGTAAACAGTTAATGAGTTTCAGAAGTTGGTCGGAAAGGTTGAGACTTGAAATAAAGAGATAAGTAATATTTGGACAGAAAACAATAAGTGTTTCTAGTAATAATGATTGTGAATAAATTTCTTCACTCGAATCAAGTTTAAGTTGTTGTAGTAATGAGCCAGATTTTTCTAAACTTTGTATTACATTTGCTGCATCAATAGATTCGTAAGAAATTATTTCCAAAGTACTGATTTTACAATGATTAATATTTAATGTTTTTAATATTTGTTCATCGCTATATAAGATACTAATAGTTTCTAAATTTTCACAATTCCTTAATGTTTCAAACTCTGCACTATAAACGCAATGAGATATTAAAATTCCTTCTAATGCTCTTTTTTGTCTGTCTAATGCAGAAATAACTTCATTAAATTCGGTAGTGAGTCTTACATTTCCGCTAAATTTGAACCATCTAAGCTGTTCTTGCGAATTAATAATACTTATAAATGAGTGAAATAGTTTTGGCTCGTAAATTTTTGAATAAGTTTTAATCTTTAATCCAGAAAGTTTCGTAGCACTCTTCGACAAGATTCTCAACAACGTAATGGCATTTTCGATATTAGAATCAGATAATATTTCCACAGATAAATCACAAAGTTGTGAGAAAAAGTGCATACTTTGTTCTAATAAGTCTGGTTTAACTATACATCTATCAGAAACATCTAAAACTAATGTAGACAAAGTGGCACCACTTTCTATAAATATTTTAAGCAATAAATTTAATAAATTTGCTATATCATATGATTTATTCTCACTATTTGTTTGCCTATTTGATAATTGGTGTTTGATCCATTCATTAATTTTAAAGACAAGAAGCGATAAGTTGAGCACCTTCAAGAATCTAGCATAATGAAATAGAGTATTTGGAAAATCGGGAATTTTATATCCTTTTAAAATTAATTTTCCATTGTCATCAAGGGATGAAAAGTATCTTGATATAAACGTTTGATTTTTTGTAAATGAAAATGGATCTCTCCAAAGAATTGGAATTGACATATTACACCAATGTCGGCTCACAAGTGCACATGAGTGTAATGAATGGATTTCATTTTTTAAATTCTTAAGTATTTTATCCATTAATTCGGGCATATCGCCCATAAATATTTTTGATGCCATGTGGGAAAATACGGTGATGGTAAAAGTCGATAACGATATCTACGGATTTTTTTTTACATTGTATTACGTTGCACATCATAAGATAATCAGAAATAGTGATTTAAGCCGTAAGGTTTTAGTCGGCTGGCTAAGCCAGCCGACTAAGATATCGGCTAATCGGCTAGCTAATG